ATCTAAACTGAGTACTGAATATTATTAACATCTTTCTTACATATGCTTCTCCAGACTCCTAGAACACTCTGTAAGTGCCATGTACTCTAGGTACATAATTACATAATTATTAGTCTTTGAAATCCTTGACTAAGCCCATTTTACAAATCTAGACATTAAGGCTCAGATTGCTTAAGAAATGCACCTACACTATAGAGCTAAGAATAACCAGAAAGAGGACTTATATCCCAGTCCTACTGGACTCTTCGAATCTCTTCTCGTGTTTACAGTCCACCCTATATTACATATACTTTTGTGCTCATCTTTTCCTCAATACTAGACAAGGGTACCTTGTCATCTTTGTATATTCCAAATCCAGTGAATTTTAACCTTTCCTCATGACTCCAGGTGAACTACATTCCCAGCCCTAACTTCCCACCAGCTGTGCCTTATTCAAGCCATCATCGTGCAAGACAATGATCCCTCTAAGCACATTTCTCCCTCTTACAGGGGTCCTCAAACTAAGGCCTGCGGGCCACATGCAGCCAGCTAAGGACATTTATCCAGCCCCCGAGGTGTTTTTGTCACTGCTGCCAGTCCTGCTTAGCAGCCAGACTTGTCCCAGGCCCACAGTGCGCATGTGTGGAATGTGCACCGCACTCTCCAACAGCCCTCCAATGGTCAGAGGGACAGTGAACTGGCCCCCTGTTTAAACAGTTTGAGGACCCCTGATAGAATCACTATCTAAAAGGTCTGATTTAGAACAGAAACAACATACTGTGCTACCTATATTAGTTAAGCAACAGAATTAAACCATTTTGTTCTCCTAATAAACAAAGATTAAAGTCCAGATACCATGTGCATTAGAAACTAAAGGTTTAACAACCTGATCAAGCAATGAGAAATGTTGAATGACCTCCTAAGGAACAAACAAGGGAGCAAGTATAGTTATTCAGTCCATAAGTATTCACTGATCTGTGTGCTAGCTGTTATAAAAATTATAGACTACTTAGGCATAAGTCTCTCCCCCATAATTATATATAGTGTAAGGAAACAAACAAAAAAACTAACTAGATAATATAATTTAAAACAAGTGCTGAAAAATTAAAAGAAATTAAGAAATTAAAAGAAATTAAGTTGATTAATAAAAATGCCCTCTTAAGTATCACTAAGTCTTGAAAAAACAAGCCAGGTGAGTTCAGCAGGGAAATGTAATGGTCAACACATTATCAACCCCAATCCATTTAGACCAGAGGTGACTCTGAAGAAAAATTTTCTCCTAATGTAACACTACCAGCTAATGAGTGGCATCAGAACTATTTACTTTATGTAAAAGTACATAACATATATTTATATATTACATATCACTTTAAATGAAACCTCAGTTTCTATAAAATGTTTCTAAAAACTGTGACACAACAGATTTACTGAAGATTCACTTCCTTGATGAAAACCAATCACCAATCCAGAGTCTCATTAACATCTAGGCATATTTCCAGTTAATGAGATATGTACGTTTCTGAATACTTTTTCTGCTGGTGGTTATAATGCATGTTTTTATCGAAATTCCCTCCCTCACCCTCTATGTCTAACTGGGACTAAGTTCTGCTGCAGATGTTTTAATTGTCCTTGAATTCCCACCAATACTGCCCTAATTCAGGCCATCATCATATTTCATGTGCAGTACTGTAAACACCTATCTGATCTTCTTTGCCTCCACTCTCACAATCCTCAACTCACCTTCTATACTGCCTCTAACATTCCCTGTAAAACTTTCTAAAGTCAATCTGATATCGTGGTTACCCACTAACTAGTGCAATATTTCCTCAAGTGTATTTCCTTCTTACAGCTATGAAATGCACATTGATATCTTAAGGGGTCAGAGAAATGCTGTACAAAAACAGCTTGCTTTAACTTAATTTAACTTTCAGTCACAAAATATAGACCAAAGAATTCCTATGTGCTCGAAGATTACCCTCTCACAAAACAGGAGATTTCAACAGTGGTTCGCAAACTGTAGTATGTTAGAATTTCTGTCAAGCTTGCTAAAAATAAAAATGTCTAAGGCTCACCTCAGATCCAGTGAACCTAAGTATTATCTAGGAATTGGCCCTACCCATATACATTTCTAATACTTTCTATAATGATTCCAATGCATACCTAAATTTGAGAACCCAAGCAGAAACCCTCCTTGTTTTGTAACAAACTGTTAGTATGTTTCCCAACTCTCCAAGCTATTTCATACCTTTCATCAAACTGAGGAATACCTAGTAACTTAAATATTCAGGTGTCACCCATTCTAAAAAGGTTTTACTCATCCTCTCTTCCACCATCCTCTCCTTATCTCCTAACCTAAACTTTTATAAAACTAGTTTCCACGTATTTATTTATACACAGTCCTAATCCACACAACCACCCCATGAGATAGTATCCATATTTTACAGATGAAAAAAATCAAACCTAGGACAGAAAGGTTAAGAAACTCATCCAAAGTGACCCTGTGTTTGACCTTATGTTTGCTGTTTGCTGATTACAAAGCCAAGGCATCTTCCATTGTGACATCCAGCTTCTTACACATCACACCGAAGTATTGACTTACTCATCATTTTACATATTTGTTTCCCATTTCAGAGCTGGTAAGCTCCCTTAGGGCAAGTATCAACCTTCCCTGATTCTGACCTCAAAATTTATTCAATAAATGTTTGTTGGATGAAAGAAGAATTGAAGCCCCTCCACAGCTGGGACTGTAACCACTTCTCTTTTGTTTCTTAAATTCTCAGAGCTCTAAATTTGGTCTGACCTGCAAATCTTATTGCTGTGGATTTACTAAGGGACTATTTATCTCAGTATTGTTTTAAACTACAAAAGGCTGCATAGTAAGCAAAGGAAGGAAAATTTATTCCCCCAAATTAAAAAACATCATTCTTCTTTCACTCTCTATTAACTAGGGACTTCAAATTTTAAAGTAATCTCCAAAATAATTTCATTCCACAAGAACAGGCAACTTTAACAGTGTGGTTTTAAATGACAGAAATTCAAAAGGTAAAGCTGATTAATAATAAACAAGATAAAGAAATTGAGCACTGAACACTGACAGCCTATTTGGCAATCTGCTTATGCTAACCAATACACAATGCTATCTTTATCACTGCACTCTTCTATATCTATTATCTATCTTTTGAAACCAGTAAATACTATAGGTAAGCACAGAGCAATTAGTATACAAGTGTATAAATGTAACATCTTTCCTAAAATAATGTGTCTGGTATGTAAAACATAAAACCTCCACTTTCTTCTTGATACAGATTACATAGCAAATGTAATAAACCAGCAAAACTGAAATTTTTTTTTCATTTCAGGGAACTAACATTCAAAGTGCTGGAGATTTTCCTAAGCTGAAAATATACAAAAATTAGCACTGCTTTAAGAATCTTACATTTTAATTATTTTAGTTTTTGGTGAAAAAATGACTTTAATACTACTTTTAGAAATAAATCAATAATAAGAAAAAAAACTTCTTCTACAACAACATGACATAGAGAAAAGTATAACACGACTAGGAATCAGGAGTCCAGTTTTCTAGTTCTGGTCACATTACTAAATTGCTGTGTGACTTGCTGCTCAATGGCTCGGTTTTCTCATTTATTTAAAAAAGCGTGTGGGGGAAGAGGAGTGACTTCATTATCTTTAAAGTTGTTACCCTAAACTCTGATTTTGAGCCACCCCTCTTGTTTCATTCTTCTAATCAGTAAACTCAATGTTCTTTAAATTCTGAAATATGAAACACATCTGAAATTGAAGGGAACGATTCAATCTCCCTACTAGATGGCACAAGATACAAAGGTTAGACGCATATAAAGTTAACAATTAATCCAGTAACTTTCCAGAAATTGTCTAATTCTAGCTTCTTAAAAAAACATGTGTAATCTGGTCTGGTTTATCTAACACTACTAATAAAAGTTATAAAATGGTGCTGCTCTGTTGAAATTTCCATAGGTGTTTCCTGGGTTCCAGTGGTATATATTCTGCAGGTGCTAGCAAGCAAAGAGGGAAGAAAGGGACCCAGCCAGCATTTCAACAAACCACAGTTCAGGCCAGTCACCCTCAGTAAGATCCCAACCAGGCCTACACCGCGAAGCAGAACCTCCCCACCCCCAGAAGCGCCAACAGCCAATGTAATGAATGCTTCCGTCAACAACACACATTCCCCTTCCCACAGCAGAACCGCTCGCTCCCAACCAGCCATCTGGGGCTGGAATCCACCACACAGCCCCAACCTAAGAATCATTCTCGGCCCCAAAGGCCAAGAACTACCAGAGACTGAGGTTTCCTTGCGCATGGCTGCGGGGAGAGCAGCACCCCTCCCACCAAGGAAAAAAAAAAATCAGTGAGAAGAGAAATCAGGCCTAGGCGAGATTGCTGGAGAAATAAACCCTGTTTCTCTGCAACGAGGAGCAGTAACATTTCTTGCCCTTTCTCTGATCCGAAGAGTGCCCAGAAACCATGCACTCGACTTCATTTCCTCCTGGAATCCTTTTAAAGAGAGGGTTAAATGCCACCGATGGTCCACTTCATTACCAGATCTATCCACTCCTCAAACCGGGCATTGTTAAGGAAAGTAACCCCAGATCAAGTAGTAGGTGAAGAGGGCCAGAACAAGGGCCCACTTGCTGAGATGAAGCAGCTTGTGCAAGAAAATCCCCTTGCGGCCTGAAAGTAAAGTTTTAACCAGCAGCAAGGACGCGGACGGGGGCCCGGCCAGGCTGGGTTCCAGGGCAGGCCTGCGGAGGTGACACTCCCTTGTTCCCCAGCGGCTGGGAAGGCGGCGTCCGGCCGCCCCGGCGCGCGCCCTGGGAGCAGGGCGAGGGCGCGGACGCGGGGCCGGGGCCGGCGGGCGGCCTGGCCGGCTGCGAGACCCTCCCCGCGCCGCTCCCGCCTCTTTCCCCACTCCCACTTCCCGGCCTCAAAGCCCGGGCCCGTGAGTTAACATCAGGGTGGCGACGCGGGTCTGGGTCACTGACCACACATTTCTTGCCGAGGAAGGTGAAGAGGGACTCGTTCTCCTGCGGGGTCAGCAGCAGGGACCCCACGTTGGTGACCCTCCGCGGCGGCGGCGGCTGCTGCTGGCCGGAGCTCATGGTTGCGCCGGCGGGGCTGGGAGTCCAGGGCCGTCTGCTCCGGCGAGTGGGCGAGCGCTCGTTCCCCCTCTCGGTGACAGGGGCGGGGAGGAACGGGGTCAGAGGCGCAGCATCCCGCGGCTCCTCTGGCGCGGGGAGGAGGACGCCAAAGAAGGGGAGCAGCTGAGAAAGGGAAGCTCCCAGCTCCCGCCCGGCTAGGTTCGTGCCGGATGGTCGTTGTCCTCGCACTCCGGCGACTGCGCTAAACTCTCAACTCCTCCTCCAACCCTCCAGCAGCGGCGGCGGCGGCGGCGGCCGCACAATCCAACATGGCAGCGGGGGCGGACGAGACCACAGCACGGAGGACGCGGGGGAGCGCGCCGGAAACGCGCGGCTGGGCCGGGAACCCACCAACCCAGGCGGGCCTCGCCGCGCCGGCTCGAGACCCCGCCCCCTTCCGGCCGAGGCGCCGGTCGCGGGCGAAGTGGAACCGGGGTCTGCGGTGCCGGCCTCGGCTTCTGGCCTCTCGCCTGGGCGGATGGGTACCCGGACCCAGCGACTGTTGCTTGAAGAGAGGATGTAGGTTCGTCTCCGCTGCTGAGCAGCCGGCCTCCCTTCTGCGGGCGCACACCTTGGCGAAGCGTCTGTGAGGACCCAGGTGGGCGCGGAAGCGGGACGCTCAAGCCGGTAGTCAAAAAGCCTGGACACTGGAGGCGGAATTTTGGGGCGAAGAGACGCGCTCCCTTGTGTTCCTCGCCGAGTTCGATCAGAGCTGCAGGTGTCTGGGTTTTCTCAACCTTTGTCCAAACTGCAGCAGTGGAAGTGGAGGAACAAACAGGCCTCTCCCGGAATTGAGAAATAGATCTCCTTGATGCATGCAACAAAAACCAAATGCACTGGACTTCTACCGCCCACCTGGCGTGTCACGTGGGATAAATGTATTCGTGACATTTAAATTCCAATTCTTTTAAGGGCCCTGACCACATTTTTTCCTGTCTCCTGAACTGGAAAACATCTCTTACCCCCCTCCACCCATCTTTTTCTCTTTCTAAACAACTAAAGATCTTGTTTGGTTTTTTTTAGCTAAGATAAATGTGCCTATTTTGAGATGTCACAAAGAAAAATGCTTTATCTGGTTTAGACCTTAGAAATAAATCTCAATTTCTTAATGCCTCAGAATATTGAAAGTTACCTAAGATAACGCCCTTTGTTCTGTAAATTAAATACTAAACAACTTGTTGTAAAACAAAATATTACATTATAGAAATCATAATACAGATTGCAATGAATCATAAAATAGGCATCGGACTGTTCTCCACATTTAAACGTATTAGCATTTATTGCATAAACACCATGTTGGCTAAATACTCCAATAAACAAAAAAGTTTTATGTTAGACTTAAACATCTATGACAAACTGTGGGAAAACTTTGATTTTAACATCTCTGATAGCTCCCAATAGAAATCTCTGATGTACTCAACAAATTGATAAACTATCCTCAATGAACTTTGAGAACATTATAAAAAATTAAAATTCAAGCTGCCCTTAATTGGCTGAGAAGGAATAAATCTACAAAGGAAAATGAGTGTATAGCCTTGGACATTCTCACATAAAATACAGAAATTTCAAAATTAGACTTGATTAATAATAGGGGTAAAATTGAATTTTAAAAAAGCAACAGGACTTGTTATAAAATAATTAACTTTCAAAAACAGTACTGGAAACATAAACTTGGAGTTGCCTCTTAGTTACAGAGCTAACAAACCTAGAAGCTAAATCAGTTTGCTTTTTATCAAAAATGTAACTACTCTAAATTGTAAGCACAGTTATAGCAGAAAGCATACAAATTCTTGAGAAACGATAAAAATTAGAGCCCTGTTAACAAGCACAGTACCAAAAGTACAGGCTTCAGATAGGCCGAAGTTGTAGTTCCTGTTATGCCTCTCAGAACCTTATGGACTTAGGACAAGTTGCTTCTGTAAGTCTGTTTCCTCATCTCTAAAATGAAAATAATTTCTGTTTCATAAAGGTGTAGTATAGAGATAATTACACCTACTTCAAAGCTGTAAAATAAAAGATTGCAGCTAGATAAGGAGGAATAAGTTTAGTGTTCTACAACACTGTAGGATGACTATAGTTAATACATTAAATAGTTTCAAATAGCTAGAAAGATATTGAATGTTCCCAACAGAAAAATGATAAATGTTTGAGATGATGGATATACTAATTACCTTTATGTGATCACTATACATTATATGTTTAGCAGCATCACTATGTGCCCCATAAATATGTATAATTATTAGATGTCTATTAAAATGTTTCAAATAAAATAAGTTATAAAATATTTTAAAAGATAGCACAAATAAAGTACCTGATACATAGTAGTTATTAGTTGTTTACCATTGACAGTTTTTACCTGTGGTCTGTTCTGCTTTCCCTGAACTAAAGAAAGGATCAAGACTTGGCTTGAGATATGTATTTTTACCTTTGTTCAATCTAAGTCTGATTCTTCAAAAACTGTCCTTCAAATTTACAACTCTACATAATTCTGCAAATACATGATGATGAACTTGAGGCATAATCCCTTTTGTTGGCAGAATTTCTGATTAGGCTATATATTACACCTAATAGCATATATATATATCCCAGTATGCCAAATTAACAAAACTATTAATAACTACACGTCCAGGGATGGAATCCTATTACCTTCTAATTAATAAAAATTGAAAGATAATTTTTATACTAGAAATGCCTTTTAGAACTTGTAGACCACCAAACTATTTTGAAAACAGGAAAGAGAAGTGGGAGAGGGCTGTGAAAAAAAGAAGCTATGAAATAACAGGTAAATGGACCATCTCCATTCCTTGAAGAATCTGTCCCATGCTGAGAACTACTGAGTTCCAGCCATCTCACAATCTCTTATTAGCCTAGACTATTTGCCATTGTTCTATTTTCTTTAGACTCAAAAATTGAAAATTATGACTGTCATAGACATTTCTTTCAAGTCGAAACCATTTTTTCAATTTTTCCTCAAAATTTTAAACATAGTACTTTGTTCCCAAAATTATAATTTTTTATTTTCTATCCTTTGTTTTTATTGTTGTTATTTTTGCTTTTCTCTTGGCTTTTCCAAATATTTGGTGACGTTCTTAAAATGCATAAAATGTAAGCATGAATGTTTCTCTGGAAATACTACTTCCTTTCTCGTTTGAGATGTGAACAAGCAATATTGGGGGATTCCCCCACACCATGCAAAAAAGATTCTATTTTCCCAGGCTCAATCCTGAGACCAGGCAGTACTGACTGTATTTATTTCAAAAGTTTTAGTCCTTTCTTCCTTTCATTCTTGATAGCATATCCTGTATTTGGCAGAACACAAGACATCTTTCTCTTTGTTTTCTTTGGCAAGTTATTTTCTTATCTTAAATTCTTTTTACCCAGTTTGAGAGATTGGATTTGATCCAGAAAATAAGCCTTCTGTTTCATTTCAACTGAATGTCTTGAAGTTTGTAAGCTAGGTTACAAAGACTGTAGGGATTTTATTTTCATATACGTGTAAAATGCATATGCTATATTAGAGGTATATGAATATATAATAACTAAGAAAAAAAGTAATTCTTTTTTTTTTTTACTTCGGCATATTATGGGGGTACATATTTTAACGTTTCAATAAATGCCCGTTTCCCCTCCTCCCCCCCCAAGTATGAGTCTCCAGCATGACCATCCCCCAGATGGTGCACGTCTCACTCATTATGTATATATATACCCGCCTCCCTCCCCCCTCCCACCTGCCCAATACCCAATTACTGTAGTACCTATGTGTCTATTTAGGTGCTGCTTAGTTAATACCAGTTTGCTGGTGAGTATATGTGGTGCTTGTTTTTCCATTCTCGGGAAACTTCACTTAATAGTATGGGTTCCAGCTCTAACCAGGAAAATATAAGATGTGCTCTCTCACCATTGTTTCTTAGAGCTGAATAGTACTCCATGGTATACATATACCACAGTTTATTAATCCATTCTTGGTTTGATGGGCACTTGGGCTGTTTCCACAGCCTTGCAATTATGAATTGTGCTGCTATAAACATTCGAGTGCAGGTGTCTTTTTTGTAGAGTGTCATCTCCAGGTGCTGCTGGCACGGTGTTCCCAGGAGAACGGTGCTGACTCAGAGGCTGAGAGACATAGACCCAGTTTGGGCTCCCTGTGGGTGAATTGGGACCAGAACTCCTCTCCCTGGTGGGGATACAGTTTGAACTCTGGGACCCAGAGGTCGGACCGCAGACCAGATCCCTGCACCAGGGCTAGCATTGCCCGGGGCACAGAAGGGTTATACGTGAACAGCCTACTGGAGGTGTGTGTGCCTCCAGGGGGATCAGCATCCTAGAGGGCAACCCTCTTCCCAAGAGGAGGCCGTGCGCCCAGCCCAGGTGGTGTTCCTGTGCAGGGAACCTCCCGCCGGCATCACAATCTGGGGAGGCCTGGTGGCTTGTGGTCTGGCCTGCTGGCAGAGGCCCAGGAGTAGCTGTGGAGTTGGGGAGGGTGGAAAGAAGCGAGGCCCGCTCCAGACTGCTGGTCTCAGACAGGCCCACCCCCACACCCAGACTTTCTGGCTGAGCAGGACCATTCCAGCCCCTCCCTGACAGCTTTTCCTGGAAGCAGAGAACAGAACTTTGACCCCTGCTAATTGCCTGAGGCAGGCTTACCCAACCCAGCTCCGCCCAGAACAAGAAGCTGATAACAGGACATAAAATCAACAGCATAGCCTGTTCCTCCAAGCAAACGCCACCGTACTGACAGGGATGGCATCTTGCACAGCCTTTCCAGCACGCCACTGACTCAACATACAGGGAGTGGTCCAATCTCACCCACAGACACCATAACGCTCAGAAACTAAACAAGGTGTGTGAATACCCAAACAATAACCTAAAGAAGAAACAACAACTGATCGACATGGGAAGAAATCAGCGAAAGAACTCAGGAAATATGAGAACCAAACGGAAAACACACCCCAAAGAGGAGCACCAGCCCCCTAGAATGGACACAACCAAAATCAGGCAACCAATATGGCAGAAGAGGAATTTCGTTGTGGATCATAAGAACACTCACCGAACTG